TGTTCCCAGAAAGGGACCTTTCGGGTTGTGACGGGTTGGATCACAGAAACCCCCTTGGGAGCTGCCACCCGATGTGCCAAGACTACCCCTGCTTCTGTTTTCCCTGCCAGCTTAGGGCTCCAGCACCCTGTCTTGCTGAGCCAGCCACTCCTGTCTGGCTTCAACACAGACTCAGGGTCTGAATCACTTGTCCCAAAACTGCAAGTTTACCCAAAAACAGCTCACAGGAGTGTGCTTGTCTTTAGCACTCAGATGCCCAACTCCCAATGGGGTCTAAACCCAGATAAATCCGTTTTACCCTGCATAAAGCTTATGCAGGGCAAACTCATAAATTGTTCGCCCTCTATAACACAGATAGAGAGATATGCACAGTTGTTTGCTCCCCCAGGTATTAATACATACTCTGAGTAAATTACTAAATAAAAAGTGATTTTATTAAATACAGACAGTAGGATTTAAGTGGTTCAAAGTAGTAACAGACAGAACAAAGTAAGTCACAAGCAAAATAAAATAAAATGCGCAAATCTATGCCTAATCAAACTAAATACAGATAATTTCCTCACCAGTTCCAGAATGCTCCCTTTTACAGGCTAATCTCCCTTTAGCCTGGGTCCAGCAATCTCTCACACCCCCTGTAGTTACTGCCTTTTGTTTCAGCTTCATTCAAGCATCCTGGGGGGTTGGAGAGGCTCCTTCTTTAGCCAGCTGAAGACAAAATGGAGGGGTCTCCCCCAGGGTTAAATAGACTCTCTCTTGTGGGAGGAGACCCCCCTCCTCCCTCCTATGCAAAGTCCAGCTCCAAGATGGAGTTCTGGAGTCACCTGGGCAAGTCACATGTCCCTGCATGACTCAGTCTTTACAGGCTGAAGCCATTGCCCACATGGAATCTTGCATGTCTCCAGGAAGACTTCTTATGTGGATTGGAGCATTCCAAGATGCATTGTTCCCTGATCAGGTACTTAACCTGGCGAATTCCTTCCTAAAGAAGCTGACCAAATGCCTCCCAAAGCTTACTTAGAAACCAAGCAAGCATACAGCCCATATTCTTAACCTCAAATAGAAAATGATATATATATGTACAAATAGGATGAATAGATATAGTAGACCATAACCTTTACGGAGATATGTTACCTGGCACAGGCAGCACAAAACATATTTCAGTTATATCATACATACATTTGTAAACACCCACCCATAAAGCCTTATGGGGTACGCTGTCACACGGGTCCTTCAGAATTGATCATAATAGTGTCAACTCCCTGACAGTCCTGCCTTGGCCCATTGCAGAATCAACATGAAGGAGCTGAAATGTTCCAAAAAGGTAATAAAATGTGTGTGACGCATCCCACGCACACCAGGGTTACAGAGCATGTTCCAGGACAAGGCAGCAGTTAGCCATAGAAACATGTGGTCACATGCAGGCTGATACTCTCGATATTAGGTTACTGTATGCTCTCACGCCCTGCCTCAGCAGTAGCTGTGTTCCAGTGCTGGACAGAGGTCATGGTTTGGTGTGATCTGATACCATAAGGGCAAAACACCAGGGGCGTAAGGAACAAGTCCCATGCTGGTTTTGTTGTGCACTCTGAGAAGAGCAATGAACCGTGCCAGGTAATATTTCCAAGATCCGTTGGCTGCCTGTGTTAACCATCCCAATTTAAAAGAAAAACACACAGAGATGTTGAGTTTTATAATCTACATGGCTGCCCCGTATGGTTTGGAGCAAGATGATTAAAATTCTATTACAGGCAGCATAGAATGCTTGATTTAACAGGCCATGCCCAGCCCTTATGGCCAGCGATGACTTGACAGGCTCCGTCCTATCCAGAGACCCAAATCCAGCTCCCAGAGATAAAGCTCACTCAAGTCAGAAACTAACTTGTCTCCAGGGAAACGGAGACACTCCCAGGATGGCAGCTGGAATTGTCAAAGGAACCTAACCGAGTGAGGCACCCAAATCCCTTTGAATATCTGCCGACCTCACCATGCTCTGAGAAGAATTTAGTTAAAGTTTCTCCAGCTTTGAAGATGTGATGTACACGATACGTGCTAAGTAATATCATTCATATAATAAAATACACAGGGATTGCTGAAACACAGCTACTTGTGGGGTGGAACACAGCAGCTGTTTAACAGCGCACAGCCATACAGCTAATAAACATTCTGACACCGGGTAGCTTGTTCGTACCTATTAAACACACCTTTTTGGCAGTGTGAAATGCTGTGACTGTGCCGAGGTTTAGCCTCAGTAACATCTCCAAGTGAGGAGGTAGTCGTGTAAAGGAGAGACAGACTTTCAGTACTTACGTTACTTAAAGCATCCTGCTGCTCTTACCGCCGGTCACCTCCAAGGCTGCATCCGAACAGCATTGCTGAAATGCAGCCACCTCTGAGAGTGGTGCCCACAACCATCTGTTGCACAGCACGCTGCCGAGAGAGGGGAAGGCATAGTACAATCAAGGACGTTGTGGGAAAGGCCTTCTCTTATGAGATCTTCAGCGTCCATGCAGAGGAGAGCGGCCCTTGCTTTTTATGATCTGTCGGAAAGACTTGCTGAGCACAGTAAAGTGACTGGGAAAGAGGGCTGTACCATGGCGTCCTAGCGTATTTCAGGAGCAATTCAGCTGACAGCGGAAGAGGAATTCCGGCATTGCTCACTTCGGTGTAGAAGACGGTGCCTGACTTTTCCAAAGACAGCTTGGCCCTCGCATCGTAACTGCCCTCTGAGGAGCTCAGTGCACTTTAACCACACTGATGAATAAGCCATGCAACTCATCTCTTATCTCCACTTCGCAAATCGCCTCTGGGCCTAAACCTGCCTGGGTGACTTGTCTCAGGTCTCACAGCAAGTCTGTGTCAGTGCAGGAACAGAATCTACAGTCCCTGTTCTTCAGCGACCCAGTCCTGTGTTCTGGGTGTATTTCCCAGCTGGCTGTTGCCCAGAGGCATGTGCACGCCGTCAGAGCAGGAATGTAACGAGTCGGAAAGGCGTTTAACAGAGTTAGAAGTGAGACAAGTAACTCCACACGCAGTGAGCCAGGTGGGCCAGGACTTCATTTCACTTGCTCTTCGGTGGTGTCGACAGGGAAACTGAGGCAGAACAGGCTAGTTTTCTTTCTGCACCTCCCATCCAATGCCCTTCTCATGCAGTGCACCTTGGCTACATTAAAAATGGGTCAGCCACCTGGCTGATGGCTGACATTTGATTACATTCCAGTTGTCTACAGGAGGCTTTTGGGTGGCTCCACCTGCTGGACTCTAGGATTTGTTTGTAGCCTGGTTTGACTACCAAGTGCAGCTAGCCTTACCCAGCCCCCACAAGGAAACTGAAGCAAGATGCTGTCCACACGACTGTTTTCCTGGCCTCCTAGGGCTTTTTCACTTGAAAGCAGCCACCGACTCATTGAACTGTGCTGTAGATCCCGCTTTCTCAGCTCCATATATGGTAACATGAAGGACGCTAAGCGTCCGTGGGTATTTAAATTCTGGTCGGGAACTATCCCTGTTGTCTCTGCCACAAGAGACTGAACACCTTGGAACTCCAGACAAACCAGTTGCTCCTTTGTGCCTGCTCTGATCTCCATTAGCCATCCTCCCTCAGTCATTGGTAATATGGTTACCCAGCAGACCCTATCCACCTTCCCAGGGAAGGGGAAGTGGGGGGGGGACCCTTGTCACCATCTGTGATTGGTGATTGTCTGTATACTGTATTTGCCTCTGGGGAGACATTTCAGTTGATTATTATCATAGCAACAGGACAAGAAGCAGGCTGAGCCGGAGTGAGTTTGTAATGCTGTCTCTGGGGCTCCCCTGCAGAGCTGGCCGCTTCCCCCGCAAACAGCTGGAAAATGTGGGTCAAGTACCTTCTGCCTCCGGTGGCCTGGGAGCCGGCGTGTAGGCGTGTACTAGTAGAGGATTCCACAAACAGGGCCCTGTGACAGGCGAGTCCCAAACAGAAGAAGGGATCACACTCAGGCCTGCCACGAAGTATGGGACGTTGCATCTGCTTACTGCAGCACTCAGTGCCTGGTTCTCCTTGCCCCCCAGCAGGTTTCCCCATTGGCGGCTTGGCAGGCTCCTATCTACATGGTTTCTTAGGGGTCAGCTGCCCAGGCAGGGCCAATGAGTACAAATCTTTCCTGTCCTGTTTTCTCATTTCCCAGTTTGAGGGCCTGCGTTAATTTGCTGTCTGTTGCTTTTGAGCACCAGCTGGCCATGTCCAGGCAGGGGGGGTTACCTGAGAACAAGAGGCTTCCAAACAGCTGCAAAGGAGTTGCCTTTTTTATAGGCAGGAAAGGGACACCAAGGGCGGTGATATGAGTCAGCTCAGGCCACACAGCACGTGGAGCAGGACAGAGATCGGAACTCGCGCTTTTCTGCCTGCCAGGCCCTTGGGCGGGCGGCTCTTGGTTGCCGTGGCGTGAGCTTGGTGGTGCCAAGCCCTGGCGGTGTCCAGCACTCATTACTCCTTGGGCTCCATTCCAGCCTGGCCGGCCGTCTGCTGCCTCTCCCGCTGGCCACAGCCCCATCCCTGGATGTGACGCTGCTGGGGCATGGGTGGGTGAGGCTGTGGGTGACGTTTAATGAAAAGCGACGTTTAAAACCGCAGAACTATTTACATTGGCTCAAAGGGATCCAGCTTATGTGTGCGTGTGGGGGGTGCGTTCAAACCTCTTTTAGGCCAGCTGATAGCAGCGGGGGGGAAGAAGGGGGTGAGGTGCCATCTTGCGCTTGGCTTAGGATGGGTTTGTTAGGACTGGAAACTAAGGGTTACGTTCTGGTCCAATTGAAGTCAATGGCAAAACACCCATTGCCTTCAGTAAGGCCAGGATTTCACCCCCAGCTCTCATTGTGATGGCACTTAACACGGATCAGAATGAGCGACGCACGCCAAGCCCCAGGCAGGTATCCCTGGGCGGGAGCAGGGCCTAGTGTCTGGAATAATCCACATGGGGACAAGCTTTTTTAAAAACCACGGGTGTGCTTGTTTTATTGTCCAGGTTCCACCATATTGGCCGAGCGACTGGGCCCATCTACACCGAGCTCTCCCACTTCAGCCCCAAATTCCCCCACGGTTCTCTGCAGCGGGGTTTCTGATCCAATCCTGAGTACGTATGGCTCCGGTCTGCTCTGCAGCTCCATCAGCGGTGAGTGTGCCCCGCCCACATCCGCGGGTCCCTGCCATGTTCTGCACTGCCACCCTTCCAGCTCCCCTGTTCAACGCCCAGTGGTGCGCTAAATGCATGGGGGCGGCATCCATCTATGCACCTGTCAGCTCCCGAAGTGAGTGAGGGAGAAGTGCCAGAGACCCGTGAAGTCCCTAGGGGAATGTTTTTATGTGGAAGCCGCCCAGATGCCTTGATACTGGACAGCAATAATTGTGTAGCCTCTTTCATCATCAAAAATCTCAAAGGGGGATAACAACCTTTCTAGACTGTGTACACCCTCCTGTGAAATGCAGCTGCCTCTGGGGAGAAGCCTGGAGGCTGTTTACATTGCTATTCTGCACCAGGCCCCGTTACCATGAATCCCAGAGGCTGTCAGAAGTTTCCATCCAGCCTCACAATCTCTGAGGGAGGGAGGGAGGCAGAATTCCCGTTGCACCGAGAGGTTGTGGCTGTTTGTAGGAGGGTAGTGCCCCATGCCAGCTATGCACATCCCTGCCCAGAGAACTCACAATCTGTGACTTGCCCAAGGCCTCAGGCCTCTGCTCATGTCACCAAACAATGCACCAGCCTTAGAGCTGCTGCCGCCGTCACTCTGCCCTCCCTTCCAACCGTTAATCAGCAGCTAACCCAGTTGGCAGCTTCCAATTTGCCCTCCGTAGTGAATGTACAGTGCTTGGACACTGGAGAGCTCCCTCTGTGGGCCAGCTGGGCGTGGGATCAGGCAGCCAGTTTTCCCGTTGGCCCCCGGTGCAGTGAGCAGCTGTTCCGTTGCAGTGTATTGGCCTAAACGCTAGGCAAACTGCACAGCTGTACTACTAATCCCATGACAAAAGCAGTGTTACCCATCCTCAGAATCTCTTGCATGTATATAGCCCCATCCTTGCCAGGAGCTCTGCCCCCTTTCCAGACATACATTGGGCCTCTCACCACAGCTCAGGTGAGCTAGGTTCAGAGTTATGGTGCCCATTTGCCGAATGAGGGAAATGAGGCGCAAAGAGGCGGAGTGACTTTCCCAAGGCCATGCAGTGCATCAGTGGCAGAACCGAGAATAAAGCACAAGACTCCTGCCTCTCAGGCTTGTGTCCTTAACACATGACCACCCTCCGTCCCAGCATGGAGACTCTGTGACCTGTTGTTAGAAGAACCAGATTTCTTAGGCTGTGTCTACACTACAGCACCTATGGTGGCATAGCCCCCTCGTGTACACGCAACGTACGCCAATAGAAGTGGTTTTCTGGCAGCATAGGAACGCCATCTCCCCGCACGCCGTTAGCTCTGCTGCCCGAAGCCCTCTTCTGTCAGCATTGCTGTATCTGCACTGCAGATTTGTTGGCAGAACGATGCCAATCCGGGGTGTGGGATTTTTCATGGGCTAGAGCAGAGCCCAGAGGAATTCTCCCTTCCTCAATGGTGCAGCATTGTGCATTGAGTCAGGTGCATTATGGCCTTTTCTCACCTTCTGCTGAGGCCTCAGGTATTGGACATGGTTAGCTGCAAAAGCTATTGAAGGAGACCTGTTAAATCACCCATTCTACCCCCTGCCTGTGCAGGGTGCTCCCTGCAGTACTAGGTGCACCAGGAGTCTGCTCTGACCGAGTCACTCCTCTCTCCCTAACCCTGAGACACTCATGACAGAGTAAAGAGTGACCGTGTTCCTTGCATTTCAGGCACAGCTCCAAACTCCCCGGTCAGCATGCCGGAGTCACCCATCTCCCCATCTGGCTCAGGGATCTGGGGGGACGAGTGCACCATCTGCTACGAGAACATGGTAGATACCGTCATTTACTCCTGTGGACACATGTGTCTCTGCTACCCGTGTGGGCTGAAACTCAAGAAGATGGCCAACGCCTGCTGCCCGATCTGCAGACGGGCCATCAAGGATATCATCAAAACTTATCGCAGCACTTAGAACATCAGCACGGGTTGGGGGGGGGGGCAGACGTGAGAGGAGCGAGGGGTCTCTGTCTTCACTCATCATTTGTGAAATTCAACATCTGAACCACCCCAAGGACGCTGGAGGCAGGGAGGGGAGGGTCCTGCTGGTGACAGCTCTTCCACTTCCCCTTGCCCCCAACGAGTTCTGAACTCCAGCACATCAGGGAAGTCAAGATGAACCACTCTTTCCAATGGGTTTTACATTTTAATCTCAAGAAAACAGCTGGAGCCGTTCTTCCTCTTCTACACCATGCCCAGGGATGTCCCCGCCGCTCGGCTAGCGGGAAAGGTGCGGTGAGGCACACCTTCTGCCCGGTGGACAGCGACAGTAGGCAGCTGGTGAGTGGCAGTAATACAGAGAAGAAAGTCGGCCTTTTGGGGGCAACTGACCCCATTTCACAAAAGCCTCTTAAAAGGGCAGGGCTGCGTGGGCCGTTCAGAAGAGCTGGGTGTCCAGCAGGAGTGCTGGCGGCAAAGGGTGTGACAGGGCGAGTCTGGCAGGAGATACATTATAAAGCCAAACCCAAACCCTTTTGCTGGTGGCGGAATAGTTCCCAGGAACCCTGCTCACTCGATGCTCTCCTGTGAGCGGTGGCTGGAAATCGACGTGCTGAGTGCCGCGTGGGGGGAGAGTGAGGGCCATGGATTTTTGGCACCGGGGGCAGTGGATGGGTGTGCAGCATGTGGTTCCTGCGAAAGACTCTAGCGTGGGCATGGCTCTGCGTGTCGCCGTCCAGCGAGGTGACGGGGTTATGTTTTCAGCAGCCTTGCCCCAGCGGCCTGGCTCCTTGTGGCACTGCAAGACTATAACCCCACTGCACCGATGCTTGATCCTGAGTTCTCCCTGCCCTTCACAAGCCAAAGGCCTCTCCCCCGACCCCTCAAGCAGCACTTGCAAAAAACACTGAGGAAGAATGTCTACACCCGCCCCCCCACCAATGCTCTGTTTTTACGGTAGAGTGTTAAATGTCTCTCTTTGCTTTAAAGGAAGGAAACTTGATTGGTGATTACACGCTCTTGGCCACACTGATGTGACAGGGTGGTCAACGCACTTAGTCATCAACAAGCAAAAAAGGAAGAAAGTGGCTTAAAACGGATTTTGTTTCTTTGTTTTAATGAAGGAGCTTCCGATAAAAATAAAATAAATAGAGATATCCTATCTCCTAGAATTGGAAGGGACCTTGAAAGGTCATCAGGTCCAGCCCCCTGCCTTCACTAGCAGGACCAAGTACTGATTTTGCCCCTGATCCCAAAGTGGCCCCCTCAAGGATTGAACTCACAACCCTGAGTTTAGCAGGCCAATGCTCAAACCACTGAGCTATCCCTCCCCCCGCAGATCACTCAAGGGCCAGAGGTGGGCAGAGGGAAGGGAGAGAACTGGTTTGCTGCTGCTCCTGCTGCTGCCCCATCAGTTTGAGTGGCCAGTTTCTCTGCGTCCCACCCATTTTGTCTATCTGTGAGTCCTTGTGACCACCCATTCTAGGACAGTGTAGTACTGGGCGGCCGCCAGGCTCTGCCGGGGCTCACTCAGGCCACAATCATCTCAGTTTAGGTCTGTCAGTCCTCCCTGGTCCGCACCTGCACTACGAGCAAGGCACGCCCCATCCCTCTGGGGTTGAGCTGCCCACCCTGGGGGCCCATTGAGTTCACGGGGCTCAGCGTGGTGGCAAACTCAAGGCCTAGAGATTGTGTGTCTAACTGGGGACACCATAAAGGGGCCTCGTTTTCAGAACGCGACAAGCCCCATCAGGAAACCAGGCTCCTCTGAACAGACTCGAATGCGGCGCTAATGAAAATCTTGGCTGAGGGGCTTGACCTCAGCTAGCTCCCATTGACGGCAGTGGGAGCTCGAGCAAGGCCCCAGCTTGCTGGGAAGTATTAGATGAAGCCAGCCTGCTGCTTTTCAGGGGGCTGCACAGCGGAGAAGGCAAGCAAGATGTGGCTCATTTATACTCTTCTCTAGTGTTAATGGCCCCAGAACCCTCATCTCAGCCCCAGTCTAGCCTGAACAGATCATAGGCTCAGTCACCGTGGACCACGGTAGAACCTGTACCTCTGCACTGCCCCTTGACTGCAACGAGAGCATGGCCAGTGCAGGCCCAGGCCTTTTGCTTTATGTGCTGGCCTCTCAAAGCTTGTGGGCTCTTACTGAAGCAAATTCACTGTCAGTTCTAGTAGACGCTGTGACCTAGTAACCCTGGGAGCAAGAGCAGTTAGTTATTGGCACATCAGGCCCCATGTGCATTTCAGGGCATGGTCCCGCCCTGCCCCCCAAAGCACTGAATGGAGAGTCTTTGTTATACGCAGGGAAGTGGCTCTGCTCAGTAACCCATGATGCTGATTTGCTACAGACCACGATCAAAGTGCTGCTGCTCCCAATAGCGCGACTGCCCCCACGGCCTCCTTTTCATGAGCGCAACTTACTTTTCAGCTCGGCTCGCAGGAGGCTCTACCTCACCTGTGGCTGAGGTAGAGCCAGACTACACAAGGGCGCTCACATCTGTAAGTAACTGAAAGGGTAAAAGATGAACAAATAGCATCTGTCTGCCCTAAGTAGCAGGGCCCAGCTCCTCCACTCTTGCTAAACTGACTTATACCGGCGGAGAGCTGGTCCAAGGCATGATCCTTACAGTGAGGCATGAGATCTTTCTGTGGCCTCTGGTCAGGGCCGGCGCTTCCATTTAGGCGGCCTAGGTGGTCACCTAGGGCACCAGGATTTGGGGGCGGCAATTCGGCGGCGGGGGGGTCCTTCCGCGCTCCGGGTCTTCGGCGGCAATTCTGCGGCAGGTCCTTCACTCACTCCGGGACCCGCCACCAAAGTGCCCCGAAGACCGGGAGTGCGGAAGGACCCCCCCACCCCGGCCGCAGAATTGACGACGACGACCAGGAGCGTGGAAGGACCCCCGCCTAGGGGGCCAAAAACCCTGGCGCCGCTCCTGCCTGTTACAAAGCAGGCAAGTTCCTCACAGGAGACAGCAAGCCCATTCCTGCATGACTAACTTGGGCAAAACTCACATGCTCCCAGGAACTGGGCAAAGTCAACCACAGGCTCAGACACCTGTCAGGAGCAAATGCGGGGACATGTTGGTGATGAGCCGGGAAGCAGAGGGTGTTATGTAAAACTGGTTTGGTTTTTGCTTTTCATCATTACATTTCCTTGTAATATATCAGCAGCTGGCTGGTGGGGAAGGTGGGATGTGCATGGAGAAGGGGGGAAAAGCTCCTAGCAGAAGCATAATGAAATTAATACCTAATTATTTTCACAATGAAGTACTGTAGCAATGTAAGCAGCCCCCCCCCCCCCCGACCCAGCTGATGCAGGTGTACCAGCCGCCTTCCTGGTGTGCAGCAAACAATCCTCTTGTGCCAGTAGATTTTTGCCAATAGTCACAAATACTGTAATTGTTTCTATATTGTAGATTTTAATATATAAATCGAGTTATGGCACTGGAGTTAATTCCCCTGCCATTCCTGCATCCTCCTCCCCGACAGCCGGCTGTGGAAAGGAGCAACTCAGTGCAGAGGCAGTCTTGTACTGATTTTCTTAATAAATGTTATCTTGATGCTGCTACTGTGCGTGGAAAGCCGCTGTGTCCCCAGCGCTGGGGTTAGCTGGCGGATGTCGTTTTAAGCATCACTTTTAACAGGGATGTCTCGTGCCAGATGATGGGTGGCTCCTAACCCCACTTGTGGGAATCTCAGCAGAGCCCCACCCTTTGGCATACAGAACGTGTAGGTTCCTACATTTTAATTCTTACAGCACCTGAAATGCCCACAGTGCTGCAGCATTAAATGACAGGGACTAGGCCCTCTAGCTGTACTCCTGTGAAACAGCCCTTTGGATCAGACAGGCCTTGCCCCTGCGTGAGCGTTGCAGGAGTGGACGCCAAACTCATCTGGGCTAGAATAGGGGCTTTCCCCATCTGACTACGTGCAAACACTGTTGGCTTTCGATGAAAATAATCACTGACTTGCCCAAACACCAAGAGCAGAGGGACAGCGCCAGTGTTCATACCAGCAGCTGTCCCTAACCTTGCAGGCCCCGGACCGATGCAGATCTAAGAGAGTAAGGAAGCGGGAAGAAACATGGGGGGCGGGGAATGAGCACATATATATAAAGCCAACACAGTCAGCATCATCTCCATTCAGTCTGTCCAGACTAGGCTGGTTAATGGCTACATCATGACTTTTAAAGACGGTACAAAAAGGGAGCAGTCATGTGGCACCGTACCAGCCCTGACTGAATTGAGTATGTTTAAATGTAGTAAAATGTGTGTGTTTTACGGTAGATCAAACTCCAGGCGTTAGCAGGAGCTTTGTCAAGTAGGCTGGGGCGTTAGGAGAGGGCTACACTGACGCTCAAGGGCCTTTCTGCCAACACACAAATCAGTCTGACTCAGCTCAGGAAGCACGAGGATTGCCAACTTCCTAGTCGCACAAAACTGAACACCCTACCCCGCTTCCCCAAGTCCCCTTCCCCCCACTACCCTTGCTGTCCTCCACCCTCAGTGGGCTGGGGTGAGGTGTGTGGGTTCCAGGGTGGGGCTGAGGGATTTGGAGAGCAGGAGGGGGCTGAGTTGGGATGCAGAAGAGGGGTGAGGGTTTTGGAGGGGGCCCAGGGCAGGGGCATAGGCTTACCTCAGGCAGCTCCTGGGCGGGGGGCGGGGGGAAGGGGGGCATGCTAAGGCAGGCTGCGTGCCTGTCCTGGCACCGCACGGTGCATGCCCTGGAAGCAGGCGGCGCCACGTGCTGCTCTCACCCGCAGGCACCAACCCCACTACCACCAGTGTTCGGGGCAGGGGCCGCCCGCAGAGCTGCCTGGTGCCCCCGCCTAGGAGCCGGACCTGTCCTACTGGACACTTCCAGGGCACAGCACGGTGCCAGCCAGGACAGGTACGGACTAGCCTGCCTTAGCACCAACCGGCCGTTAAAAGCCCAGTCTGCGGCGCTGACTGGAGCCACCGGGTCCCTTTTTGACTGGGTGTGCTGGTCGAAACCGGAGCCCTGGCCCCCCCTAAGAAGCACCCAGGCTCCTGCTAGGAGAGCAGG